ATTCTGGGCAATCTGGAAAAGTAGAAATGCAATTGTATTTGAAAAAAAAGGATAAATGATCCTTTTCATATAATCAAACTAATGAGTCGATGGTTTGTTGATTGGTCCATCTTGCAGATAAAGGAGCCATCAAGAAAAATGCTGGAGCTGGGTGCAAGAGTGCTAGAACGGGCAGCAAATGAGGTGTACACAGTTGGGCAAGGGTGGCGGATCAACGTGGCGAGGCTCCCTGGATGAACGGTTGCGACATCTTCGTTCTGCTGCTGCTGCTGTTCTTAGTCTTCTTATGTCTGGTAGTTTTTAGCTGTTATTTTGCTGTCTCTTTTATGGTTTGTGGAAGACTTGTTATGCTCTGAGTCTTGCTTGTCCTCGAAGTTCTGGATGGTCGGCCTATGTTGGCCTTTTGGTGGGATGTATGTTGTGTTGGTAGCCGGATCCGTTATGTAGTGTCTTACACTTTGTCACTTTAAGGGTGATTTTCAGTAATGAAAAAATCGGAAGGGAGCAAGCCCTTCTTTGATCAAAAAAAAGGAACCATCATTGTAACCCCTAATCATTGATTAATAAAGCTGGTCTCCTTCATATCTCTCTGTGTCTTTTACTTTCGCGTTCGACTACTTCGTCTACGACGCTCGCCCTCGCTCCGCAACCTAGGACCGGATTCGCCGGCGGAGTTGCGGAACATGATCAACCCGATACTATGGCAGAATAGCCTCCTTTACCGTTGGCAAGCCCCGTTGAGACGCTATGACAGCCCGAGTAGGAAGACCAACAATTCTCCCAGAAATTAACCGAATTATGGACGGACCCCTTCCCCCTCTCCAAATATCATGCCATTTCTCAAATGCCAGGCTTATTTGATGTGCCACTAGCACGTACAAATCATCCGAAGTTTCTCTGTCCGTGCAAATATTCCCTTGGTTTTTCTTTTCTCCTTTGAGTAAACAGCACTTCATACACGTGACTCAGTACATGTAGCGTAAAATGGCTACGCACAGCGCCTTTTCTCTCCCTGAAGCAAAGACGGCTAAATCAATTTGTTGCAGTGTTCCCGATTGGGAATCGTCGAGCAATTAAGTCAAGATGTATGAAAACAAATGGTCCACATTCGTTGGTATACAGTAATCTTGATAATTAAGACCGGACATTCTGCGTGTTAATTAAGCCTTGGAAAGGCCAGAGAGGATCGAGAGGACGATGGTCCGGTCAAGAGCCCGATCAGAGTGACCGGTGACGGGTAAACAGACGCGCGGTTGACTTTACCCGCACTCCCAAGCTATAGCAACACAACGCATGCCTGGGTCCCGCCCGCAGTGCTTGCCTTGCGGCGACCTCGTGCTCGTGCTCGATCAGTGACCAACCCTGCACCAACTAAAGCTGGCTAGCTTGCTGAACTAGACTGGGGTAAACGCTTCAAGTGCCACGTCTTGACAAAAATGCTTCAACTAATCTCGTGTCCTGCGTGCTGCTCCGGTCTCTTCGCCACTGGTTATATATAGGCACCTCTAGGGCAAGCACCGCATCTCAAACACATGCAGCAGCGCCATTGATTTGGCTATCCAGAGCTCTCCGGGAAGAAGGGGAGCTAGCTAGCTGAGGCATAGTGAAATGGCGGCCATCCTCGTCGCCGCGATGGTGGTGGTGCTGTCCGTCACCGTGGCGGAGAGCGCCACGGTGGAGTACCAGTTCGATGTAAGTTGCTCGGTTCTTGCAATTACCGTTGTTCAGTTGTTGCCTATTCAGGTTCCACGCCTACGCATGCAGCGCCATTGACGACGTTGTGATTGGTATGGTTATGCATGCAGGTGGCGACCATGAACGTGACGCGGCTGTGCGGCAGCAAGAGCATCGTGACGGTGAACGGGCAGTTCCCGGGCCCCACGGTGTCGGCGAGGGAGGGCGACCTCGTCGTCGTCCGGGTCGTCAACAAGGCCCAGTACAACATGAGCATACACTGGCACGGCGTCCGGCAGCTGCGGAGCGGGTGGGCGGACGGGCCGGCGTACATCACTCAGTGCCCGGTGCAGCCCGGGCAGAGCTACGTGTACAAGTTCACCATCACCGGGCAGCGCGGCACGCTGTGGTGGCACGCGCACATCTCCTGGCTCCGCACCACCGTCTACGGTCCCATCGTCATCCTCCCCAAGCTCGGCGTCCCCTACCCCTTCGCCGCCCCCTACAAGGAGGTGCCCATCATGTTCGGTACGTGTTCTTCTTAGTCTTACAAGGTGGTGACTGGTGATAAGTGTGTGCGCATGCATGAAGGACATAAGTTTATTTATTGATACGTACGTGCTCAGGCGAATGGTGGAAGGCGGACACGGAGGCGGTGATCAGCCAGGCACTTCAGACCGGCGGAGGCCCGAATGTCTCTGATGCCTTCACCATCAATGGCCTCCCAGGGCCGCTCTACAACTGCTCTGCCAAAGGTTTGTGTCGTGCGCTTCATCTACCTACATGCGTGTGTGTTACTGGTCAAGCAAGCAAGCTAACTGCATTTGCATGCGTGTGTGCGTGCCATGCAGACACGTTCAAGCTCAAGGTGAAGCCCGGGAAGACGTACATGCTCCGCATCATCAACGCCGCACTCAACGACGAGCTCTTCTTCTCCATCGCCGGCCACTCGCTCACCATCGTCGACGTCGACGCGGTCTACATCAAGCCCATCACCGTCGAGACCCTCCTCATCACCCCGGGCCAAACCACCAACGTGCTCCTCACGGCCAAGCCGTCCTACCCTGGGGCGACCTACTACATGATGGCCGCGCCCTACTCCACGGCGGCCTCCGGGACCTTCGACAACACCACCGTCGCCGGCATCCTCGAGTACGAGGACCCCAGCTCCCCCTCCTCCGCGGGGTTCAACAAGAACCTCCCGGTGCTCAGGCCGACCCTGCCCCAGATCAACGACACGAGCTTCGTGTCCAACTACACCGCCAAGCTCCGGAGCCTCGCCACGGAGGAGTACCCGGCGGAGGTGCCGCAGGAGGTGGACAGGCAGTTCTTCTTCACGGTGGGGCTGGGCACCCACCCCTGCGCCGTCAACGGGACGTGCCAGGGGCCGACGAACGACAGCCGATTCGCGGCGGCCGTGAACAACGTCTCCTTCGTGCTCCCCACGACGGCGCTGCTGCAGTCGCACTACACGGGGATGTCCAACGGGGTGTACTCGTCCAACTTCCCCGCCGTTCCCAAGTCGCCGTTCAACTACACGGGCACGCCGCCGAACAACACCAACGTGTCCAACGGGACCCGGCTGGTGGTGCTGTCGTACGGCGACGCCGTGGAGCTGGTGATGCAGGGCACCAGCATCCTCGGCGCCGAGAGCCACCCGTTCCACCTGCACGGCTTCAACTTCTTCGTGGTCGGGCAGGGGTTCGGCAACTTCGACCCCGTCAAGGACCCGGCCAAGTACAACCTCGTCGACCCCGTCGAGAGGAACACCGTCGGCGTGCCCGCCGCCGGGTGGGTGGCAATCCGCTTCCGTGCCGATAATCCAGGTTGGAATCCATGTATCATATCAGCTGAGCAGCTTAAGAACCAGAGTTTCTGAGTAAGAAAACTGATGATCTGCTTTTGATATTGATATGTGTTCTGCAGGGGTGTGGTTCATGCATTGCCACTTGGAGGTGCACGTCAGCTGGGGCCTGAAAATGGCGTGGGTGGTGCAGGACGGGAGCCTCCCCAACCAGAAGCTGCTCCCTCCGCCGTCCGATCTTCCCAAATGTTAGGAAGAGATTGCGTCTTCTCCAATTTCCACAGGACATTCGTCCGCTTTTGCTTGCGTGCGTGCGTGCACAACTGCTTTGCTTGTGTGTCGCGCGTGCGCGCGGTTGGTGCCATTCAAGTGCTTTCTTAGCTGTGTGCTCTTTAACTTTCATGTCAAGTCCTCGTCTGATTAACTGTTGTGAGGTTTCTTGATCACAAGCAAGAGCCTTAGGACTTTCATTTTTGGACTGCTGATTAGTCGCCATCTTTTGTAACGTACGGGAGCTTGGTCATATGCCCATGTGCCTCTGTCCAATAATTTGTACCAACATTTGATTTATGGCAACAACATTGTTATTTGTTATTTAATTGACAGATTTTGTTAATTAATCATCATAGGATACAGGTACTGCACAAATTCCATGGCCATTGTATGATACTTCTTCCGTCCAAATTCCATGGCCAGTGTATGAATACTTCTTCCGTCCGGGTTTATTTTTCTTGTATTGTGTCGAATTTTGACCGTAAACTTAATCAACAAAATATACATTTTATCTATTAAAAATAACACTGCGAATCCACTGATATAATTTATATGGTGTATAAGTATAACTTATATTTTGCTAGTTAAATCTATGGTCAAAATTTGATCCAAAGTTTAAGGAAGAACTATAAACCAGGACGGAGGAAGTAGGTACATTCCACTCCGAAGAAGCGCCAAGCAACACAACTAATACTTTGGGTTCTCTCCAGGGTGAAAACCTATTAGCCGGGTTGTAGCTCAAGCAATGGCTGAGGAGGTGTTGTTTTGGTGTTTTGGATTCTCACTTGTTTGTCGGGAGGTGTATGTCTTTGGTGGCACTTGCGCCACGTTATGATTTTGTCTTTGGGTGACATACCGAATGAGTTTTGCAGGGTGTAAAACCTTGGATGAAAACCCGGACCCGGGAACCAATCACCTTCTTGGAGGCGTCGTCTTGAGATTCTAGCATCGCCTCTAGTATGGCCTCCTCGGGAGGAAACTTTTTAGATGGCTTTGGGCAATGGCCGTGGAGGGTGGACACCTGATTGGGTTTTGGCTTGGTCTTTTTGTGACAGCTCTCAGAACAGGCTTCCGTCTCACCCTATATATAATGCAAACCACCATGTCCATACATAAGGTCCAAGTGCAAGAAAGAAAATAGTAAGTTTGTTCGGGGCAACAACACAAACATGCCCAAAAGAAAACAAGAAAGCAGTGATACAAGGCCGCGTAGAGCCAACGAATCACTAGCTACAAGACTCAACAAGATGGCGCCCAACAATATCAACAAATTGTTCATGCCTCCTAGCTGCTACCCGTCCTGCTGTCTAGATAACGGGTGCTAGTGCTTCAGGAAGGCCATTAATTTAAATACTGAGTACCGGCACACCTCATAAAGATCCGCTCAATCACCATCTTGTTATGCATCGTCCAAAGAAGTCCAGGTCATCACCGCAAACACTAACCAGAAAAGGCACCGCCTCTTATCGGTATGATTGGCCTGGGCTTCTAGGATCCTGCCAAGCTCAGGGCCCTGCCATTTAGGCCCCAAAGCCTCACAGGCGAAATTCCATAGAAAGGGGGCAGCACGACCGGAGAAGAAATTTGTGTCCCATACTTGGGGACACCATAGAGGGGGCACATACCATCGCCCGACGCATGCTACTTGACCACCTCCGTCCTCGAGGGAAGGCGATCACACATAAGCTGCCACACGAAGATCTTGATCTTCAATGGAAGCAAAGCCTTCCACAAACGAGTTGTCCATGACAAGGCTGACTCCTGACATAGGCATGGTATGCGAGTCAATCGTGAAGATCCCGGACGTGGTTAGCTGCGAAGAAACAACATCCATATAGTCGTCCGGCATCGCAAGGAGGGCCGCACTCAATTCGGTTCACGTCTCCGGCATCGCATGGGGTCTGAGCAGATTGCAAACATGCTAGAGAATTTGCAAAGCTGGACCCTTTCAAGCCATGGATCCAACCAGAAAAGGGACCCTTCTTCATTCCCTGTGAAGAGACCACTCCCAAGCCGGAGAGATTTCCAGAATCAGATCTGGGAGCGCTCCTTACGATCACAGACTAGGAGGAGACGACCATGCATATATTTAGCTTTAATAAGTTGCAGCCATAAGCCCCCCTCATCTATGAGAATCTTCCAGACCAATCGCAGGCTCACAACATAAGGGCCAGATTCATGCGTTGGGACTCGGGACACTAGAATACCTAAACCACCATGGTCCTTCGGGAAGCAGATATTGACCCATTTCACCATGGGCGTGTTTGGTTTCCTGCATCGAGCCCAACCAGGCCCACGCGGGAAGGAAGAGGCCTCTTTGGTTGGCTGGTTTTCCTGTTGGGCCTACATCACACGCTTCTCAAAGCAGCCCAGAGCCTGGCTCGCTGGAAACCCTTGGATCGGTAGTTTCTCGTGAGCCAGGCTGAGTGCGGCGCGAGGTCGCACGGGCGGAGCGAGGCGAGGGCGAGGGGGGATGGCGGGAGATGGAAATCTGGCGCGCCGTCCCGGCACCAAATTAGCCTCACCCCCCTTTCTTCGCTACTGCCTCACCACCGGCGGCGGTTGCGATTTCAGGTCTACGCTAGAGGCGACGGTGACGGCGAAAAAGGCGGCGGCGTTTGCGGCGGATATGGTGCTCCCCTTGTTGTTGGCCACCGTCTGGTCGACCTAGTCTGTGCCGTGGCTCCCCCTACGCCGTCCTCGTCTCCGATGCCGGTAAGCAACAACCCCTCTCCCTTTGTTAGCTCAGTGGTTAGGCCGTTAAGCTAGGTGTAGGATCGATTTCCCACTAAACGAACCGTCGATGTCGACTAGGTTATGGACGCACGGATGAGACTGATAATCCAGGCAGCAGCACTGATTAGTGTGATTCATGCATGGGTCATGTTCATGCACCAGAGAGATGTTCATCGTGCTGGGAGACCTTTGATCCGCTATGGTCCATTGTTTCTCCGGGAACAGGAGAGGACCCAAAATCTTAACCACATCTACAACTGCAATGACGTCGAGGCTCTGTGGATGCTTAGAATGAAAAGAGCACCATTTGCCAGGCTTGTCGAGACCTTCAGGAGCAGGGGCCTGTTACAAGATAGCATCAACACTAGTGTCGAAGAGCAAGTGGCCATGTTCCTCCATGTTGTTGGCCATAACCAGAGGTTCATGGTCATTCACAACACGTTTAGGAGATCAATAGAGACCATCTCTAGGTACTTCGAGCAGGTGCTTTTTGCTGTTTGGGAGCTTAGAGGAGAGATGATCAGGAGACCATCTGTCCAGACTCCACCCAAGATTCGCGGAAGCCCAAGATGGTATCCATACTTCAAGGTGAGCATTGACAATATACACTTTTCATGGCTTGATATGCCTGTATTGTTCAAGTTCATCACTAACACATGCTAGTGATGCCATTTTCAGGATTGCATTGGGGCAATAGATGGTACTCATATCACTGCCAGAGTTCCTAGGTCACAGTCTGCAGCATACAGGGGGAGGAAGCACTACACAAGACAGAATGTGCTTGCTACTGTTGACTTTGATCTGATGTTCACATATGTGCTGGCTGGCTGGGAGGGTCAACGCATGATGCAAACATTCTCACTGACAGCATGAGTCGACCTGATGGGATCAACATCCCTGACGGCAAGTTCTACCTTGGAGATGCTGGCTATGCATGTCGGCCGGGTATTCTTTCACCCTTCAGGAAAATAAGGTACCATCTCAACGAGTTCTCTGGTAGGAACTTTCCTAGGACTGCACAGGAGTTGTTTAATCTCAGACACTCCAACCTTAGAGTAACTGTTGAGAGGGCATTTGGAGCTCTGAAGAATAGGTTTAAGATCCTGGATCAGAAACCATTCCACCCATACTCCACTCAGGTTAAGCTAGTTCTTGCTTGTTGCATTCTGCATAATTGGATCCTTCAGTGGGGCTTTGATGAACACGTGCCTGAAGAGGAAGAGGTCGAGCCTGGCGATGTTGTTAGCTCTGGCCATGGTGTGGAGGCATTTGACGATGACACTTGGAAGAACAAAAGGTTGGAGTGGGAAGAGGCAATGTGGCTTAACAGAGGTCAGTGCAGGATTTGAAGAAGAGGAAGAAGAAGCAGCAGCAGCAGAAGCACAGAGGAAGAGGAAGAAGAAGCAGTAGCAGCAGAAGCAGAAGAGGAAGATGAAGCAGCAACACCGATGAACTATCCCCTATTTAGCCAATGGCTCTTAATAATTTGAACTGTCATTTGATTGTAGTTAGGATGAACTATCATTTGTTTAACTAGCTGACACTATGTTTAGATTGTGTGTGGTAAGGTCACCACTAGATAGAAGTGGTGACAACACCTTATGCAGGTTGCAACCAAACACCATGTCATATGTGCACCTAATGCAATGCGGGCAATCAAACGCCGGGTCAAAAATGATTGTCTCATGCAACTAGGGGCATGCAGGCAACCAAACTATGTGCATCTGTTTTTTTTTTTTGGCCTGCATCCCCTCAAACCGGCTCAATAGAGCCAGGCTCGCCGGGCCAGGCTGAATCGGCAATGTAACCAAACACGCCCCATATGTTTTTAACAGCTTGGATTGATGACTTGGTCGTCAAGATTCAGTGGCCATGCTCGCCGACATTCCAATTGTTTAGGTGGTGTCCTCTTTGAAGACGATGATTGTGAGTATTACTCTTCTGGTCTAGCATTTGTGAGGTCGGTGTGTTGGTTATGTGCATGTTCGATGTTTTGTCATATGTTGTTCAACATGCTGGGTACATTTATTTGTACCGTCCGAAAGCGTTAATAAAATCAGCCATTATCATAAATCTAGAACAAAAATTCTAATAAAATGATAGATTGAATTATATTCAAATCAGAATTTCAACTACCAAATCTGGTGAGACGTGACTTTTCTTTTTGACAGCACAACGGAATTCACACTTGAAAATTTCCACATCAAGCACTAGCTAGCATACGTGGGCTTTTAAATGGAAAAA